CACGCACAGCAAAACGAACCCACTGTCGACTCCTATTTTCCTCGCGAATTCCATGTCGCAATCTCCCCACTTGCTTGCCGCATCTCTGGCGCCGCGAATGAATTTGCGCTGCCATCGGCCTCGCACTCCAGCCTCGCAATTTCGTGCTCTTCTCCAGGAGGCCCGGCGAACATCTCTGTGTCACGCGCGAACATGAATGCTTTGAACATCGACGAATGCCAACGTCAATCCCGCGCCCCCCCCCCCCCAGCGCACCTTTGAAACCCACGCCTTCCGCCGACGCCACCGACGGGGGAAACCCCCGCGACTCCAGAGGCGGACTAGCCGCAAATATAACATGTTTCTCCGAGGGGCACTCGACTTGCCGCGCAACGAGTCGGGGCAGAACCACCGGGCCCCCATGGTCGGCGAAGCGCGAACAGCTCCCCAAATGCAGGCCCGCGAGAAAAGCCTCAAAACATAGACCCGCGCAACGGGGCCCAGATATAGACCCTGGCCACGCAAACCCCGACGTCGACGCCCGCGAGACCGAAGCACCCCCACATGTAAACCCCGACCCGGAAGGCCTTGAGATGTAGACCGCGCGCGACGCGCAGGGGTCCACCTGCGGGGCGTTCGCCGTTTCCGGACATTGGCCCCTTCTCCGGAATCTTCCCAACGCGCTTCCTCAAATAATGTCATCGCGAACGCAGTGCCTCATGGCCTGTTCCATGTCCTCCCTTTTAGCCATCGTGGCTAGCCTATGGTTGACCTCTGCCCCAGAGACATCACCCCACGCCTCTCTCCTACATTCTCCGCCGCGAAGAATAACGAGAAGAACTCCCAGCACGGTTTGCGCGACCTGCCCGACTCCCCCACGGCGCCCCCATGTTCCCGGCACTTTGAACCAGCCCCTGCGCAAGAATCTGCCGCGCCCCCATCCATGCGGCCGCGCGCCCCCGATTGCCGAGCGCGCGAACGTCGTTGAATATCTCTGGGTGCCCCTTTAAAGTGCCCTTTTCTCTTTCCCTGTGATTTCATCAATTGGCTGGTCTTCGCTGCACTTTCCACTGGCGAATTGTGGCTGTCCTGATGCATGCGCTCCATTTCGGTCTTGTTCTCCAGGTCACATCAGTCTCCGTGCACCTTCACCTCTCGTGGTACCAATCGATGTGCACTGTGTCTCCCGCGGGTCCTTGGCTAACTTCATCAGCGCGCGCCGTGCTTCCATTCTTCCCCGATCGAACTTTACCGAGATCAACCCCGTCGGCTGGGCGGGGGGGCCCGACCGACACTCCTGCCTCATCTGCCTGACTACCCCTGCGAACATGGCTCAACATAGCTTCTCCAGGCACACCTCGCACCTCAGACCTCCTGCCCCCCCCCCCCCCCGAGGGGGGGGGGGACAAAAAAAAAAAAAAAAAAAAAAAAAAAAAACGCGCGTTGGCGCCGCCCCATCGACGCTTCAGACTTACTCATTCTCCAATGCGAATCTCCTCTCCTCCAGCAATTGGTTTCATGTCATACCTGCGCGTGTCTCATCCACGCGCGTTAGCGCCCATGTGTCTTCGCATTCTCCGGGGCGAACTGGTGCTCGCCCGAAGCGCCCGCTCGGTGTTCACATGACAGAATAAGCGTTTCTGCTGTGGCTATCACATATCTCTGCTGCAAAGTCAAAGCGCTCAACCCAGCGCGCTGACATCCTCCCAGCGCGGCCAACTTCCAACCATTCAATGTCGAACGTTTGGGGCCGGATAAAAGCGAAGCGCATCGGGCTCGCCAGTAGAAGTGCGACGTTACTCTTCACAATTTTCTCTGCTGGCATTCCCAAATCTTCGCTGTTGAAGCGTCATGCGCCACCGTGCTCGTCGCGCGCGCTCAGCTCACATGTTGAGAACGGTGCGAATCCCATCTTGTGGACCATACCTTTTACCCAAAGTGGAGAGCACGACTCACTCGCATGTGCTCGCGCTATCTGCTGAACCTCTCCGCGCAGGCAAACCGCTGTTCTAGTCAGATTTACATGTCGAATGACTCCTTGGGCCTCCTGTTCTATCAACAATTCGGCAACCTCCTCAATTGAACCAAGCGCCTGGAGCCCCTGCCTCATCCCATATCACATATGTTTTCTCACTTCTCCTCTGGCGGTCTGGACTTGGTCGCGCGTGAGTCGTCGGGGACTTTTTCCCCGCTCGTCATCCGGCTTCCCATTAACCGCCGTCGCTGTTGGCTGCGGCGCGCCTGGCTGTGACACTGCCATGTCTGGTTTGTCTTCTTCCACAAATCCAACTCGGTTCATCTAGCCCATTCGCCTCCAAACTCTCGTTCTCGAACATCCCTCCACTGGCCTCCACTGTCACATATTTCCCGAGCGCCGCCGGTAGACACCTTGCTTAACCTCTTCTCTCCGAACGTGCCTTTCTTACTATGAAAAAACGCGTCGGCCCGACTGGGAGTCGATGCTGACGGGTGGCTCTCTCAGTTCCTGAACGCGTGGCGAGTAACATGGGAGGCCCCCGTATTTGCCTCGATCGTTGGTCTACCTCCTCGCGAACCTGGGGCCCTTGCCTGAATTGAGCCGATGCGAACCTCTCCTGGCTCTCCGGCACGTCTTGACCTTGAGCGCGCGATCGCGCGTGCTCGAGATTCCGCGCTGCGCCACCTGCGTCCAGCAACGCCTCTCACCGGCGCTTTACACCCATGCCTTCTGCGGGCCTGACCCGTTGCTAATACCCTGGCCTCGTAATCTGGCCAGCGCCACCGCCGCCTCAACGATCTTCCCTGCGCCTGGCCCCTCGCGATGGGAGCCGCGAGACTTCGTGCCCCGCAGTGGTCGGACCCGGCTGGACTGGCAGCCCCTTCAGGTTGCTGACATATTCGCTGCACCATCATTCTCTCTCGCCCCCCCCTGATCTCTTGGGCGTCGACCGCTCCAACTGGAGCCCCTCTCAGCCTGCATACGCAAGTGCCCCAAATCGTCAAACTGTTCGCCGCGCCTTTGCACCGGGCCACGAGGCGCATGGCGAGCTCGCCCTTGTCGGGCAACTGCTCGTTACACTTCACCACGCCGCACCTTTCGCGCGCCGCATCCCCGTCGGCGCCCGGCCCGAACGCATCGACAACCGATGGCGCATCGAACGCCGGCCAAGGAATTTGGGCATGAGTCTCTGCGAGCCCTGTCTTGCAATTGCTGCCAACTGCGCTTTTCTCTGCCCTGACTTGTCCACGCGCGTCTCCAGCGGCCCTTTCGACCTCGCCGCTTATCCAGCGCCCCCTACAGGGCGAATTTCAACGCCCACGTTTAATCGATATAAGCCTTTTCACCGCCCCCCAGCGGCAACAATAGCCCTTTCGCCGTCATTTTTGAAGCCGACGAGTTCATGGCCAGTAAACGGCTTTGCTCTCCGATTTGTTCGCCGCGGCCCCCTCTGCGGGCTCGCCCCCCGACGCAGCGGGGGCGCCGGCTTCGGCGCGGCAGGCCGGCGGCGTTGCGCAGCGATGTTTCCTCCTCGCTCGGCCGCAAATCGCGGCATACATCCGTCGCCGCGCCCTGCCCCATCATCTTCCTCACCCGCCCCCGAGATGGAGGGCGCGTCTGTTTCCGAGCGATGGGCGCTTGCGGGCTCACTTGCACGCGCCCTCAACTTGGGCCCCCCGCCTCGGAAACCCTCGCTGGCCGTGGCCCCCACCGCTGGCCCTCCTGTCCCCCCAGGCCACGCAACTGCTGGCGCTCTCAAAACAAACGAGACGCGCCTCCCCCCCCGCGAACCAAGGCCCGCTGCCCCATTGTGATATATGTGCCTGTCGCTTTTCATCGCGACCCATTGCTGTTCCATCGCCAGCCTGAACCATCTTGACGTCTGCCACCTCTATCGGCACGTTACTGCGGTTCCACTGTCACTGTCGCAGACGAGAGCCCTCTGGCCACATTCTCAACGACTGTTCCTTTTGCCGTGCCTTGGCTTCCCGGCTTTGGACGCCCCTGTCGCCTCAACTGGACCGCGCGCCCCAGCGCCCGGGGGCCCGCTGCGCCAATAGTGAATACATTGTGGGGTCATGAGTAGTGACCCATAGTTCTGAGCCAATCACAATTATTACCCCCCTACTGTCTGCCGTTCGATCAACTCTCTGATGCCCAAACTGTAAATTCTCAATGCCACCTTCACATAAGTGTAGTCCCACAGTAACAGGCCGCCCCGCATAATTCAGTGAAGCGCGCGGGCGATTACTTAAACCACTGATCTCTGTCCTGGGGTGCACTTGACTCTGGTAGGGAATCGCCTGCTGCAGCTGGAGCAACATCTGCGGCTGCTGCGGCTGCCATCAACCTCGCTCCGTTACCATGCATATCCTGGAACACGGAAGCGGCTTGAAGCTGTTATCCCGTCGGCAAGAAGGCGCGCGCTCTGGTCCACCAAGACTTGATTGAGCCAAGCGGCGTCAGTAACGACGGCCGCTCCACTGTTCAGACCAGCTATGTTTCTCGACATGTCGTAACGGCACGTTATAACACAACCTCCTCCTCCTCCTCCTTCCTCCCTTTTCTCCTCCTCCTCCTCCTCTGCCAGTTCCTCCTCCTCCTCCTCCTCCTCCTCCTCCTCCTCCTCCTCCTCCTCCTCCCCCTCGTCCTCCTCCTCTCCTCCTCCTCCTCCTCCTCCTCTTCCTCCTCCTCCTCCTCCTCCTCCTCCTCCTCCTCCTCCTCCTCCTCCTCCTCCTCCTCCTCCTCCTCCTCCCAAGTCTTCGGCCCCCTGTTCAATTCTCCCCCCTCCTCCTCCTCTTCCCTCCTCCCTCCGCCTCCTCCTCCCCCTCCTCCTAGCGCTTGCAATATCATCCTCCCTATTCCTCGTTCCTCATTCCTCGTTCCTCGTTCCTCCTCCTCCTCCTCCGCATCTTCCTCCTCCTCATCCTCCTGCCAACTCCTTGTTCCTCCCTCTTCCGTCCTCCCCGAGGGAGACCAGCTCCCGCACGGAGCCCCGAAGATGACACGACGCGCTCGACGCCCCGCCCCACCGAGGCGGGTCCTCCTGGCCGTGGCCGGCGCCGAAGTTCGCGATCGCCGTCTTGAAAACGTCGGCGCTGGGGGCGCGGCTTCTTCCGAGGATGGAGCACGGCCGCGATGATGGTGCTTGTGGGAGGGACCATTGGCGGTGCGCAAAAGGGGGTGGATGGAGGGGGGAAGGCTTCTCAGAAGGAGGCTGCTTCGTAGAAGGCGCCGGCCTTACATCTATAGATAAGGCCCGCGCCTTCTAAGAAGCAGGGGTGCTTCTAAGAAGCCCTCCCCCCTCCCCCCACCCCCTCTGCGCGTGGCTGAGACCAGGGAGACCATGATGATGTGGGGGGGATCAGGGACGCTGCATCGAGAGGACGACGAAGATTTCGACGCCCGAAATGGATACGGAAAAAATGAGCACAGTGCCCAACAACAAATGTTGTTCCAAACCAACAGCGGCCGCTGCTGGGCAGGCGGCCTTCTGTCTCAAATGGACACGGGCCGCGGCGGCGCAGACAGCGAGTCCTGTCCAAAATGAACAGGAACTGCTGTTGGGCTTTGTGCCTATTATTTCCGCACCCATGTCGGTCGTCCCGAGAGGAGAGAGGAGGTGGAAGAGGAGGACCCGGAGAGGACTTCCCGAAGTCCAGGGAGGTGGCGCCAGTGGCGGCTGGGAGAGAGGAGGGAGGGGGAGGAGGAGGAGGAGGAGGAGGAGGAGGAGGAGGACGAAGAGGAGGAAGAAAAGTAGGAGGAGGATGAGGAGGAGGGAGGAAGAGGAAATGAGGAGGAGGAGGAGGAGGAAGAGGAGGAGAGGAGGAGGAGGAGGAGGAGGAGGAGGAGGAGGAGGAGGAGGAGGAGGAGGAGGAGGGAGGAGGAGGAGAGGGAGGAGGAGGAGGAGGAGGATGAGTATGAGGAGGAGGAGGAGGAGGAGGAGGAGGAGGAGGAGGAGGGAGGAGCAGGAGGAGGAGGAGGAGGACGGAGGAGGGAGGAGGGAGCAGGAGGGGAAAAGAGAGAAGGAGGCAGGAGGGAAGCTAGGAGCGGGGAGGGCGGGACTCAAAGACGGAGGATGGAAAAAGGGGGGACGAGAGGGAGCAGGGAAGAGAGGAGGACGGGGAGGGAGGAGGAAGAGCGGGAGGAAGAAGGAAGGAGCATGCACGAGGGAACAGGAGAGGGCGGAGAGAGCTGTAGGGGAAGCAGGGGCGTGGTCGGGGCGGAGGTGGTCGGGAGGAGGCAGGAGGAAGGGAGGAAGGAAGGGAGTGACGAGGAGACGGACGAGAGAGGCAGAGGCGAGGGAGGGAGACGGGGCGAGAGGCGAGCGGACCGCAAGGCGCACCCGAGCGGGCCAGGCTGGGGTGACGAGAAAGCGGGTCCTGAAACCGTATTCCTGCAGCCACTGCGCGCCGGTGTTCTCCTCCGTCGAGACGACGGTGCCTATCTCCTCCGCGCGGGATCGGAGCGCACGGCTGCGCCTCCGACGACAAGCCAGCGTCACTGTCGCCCTCCCCCTCTCCACATCTGATGCCTCCCCGATTTCGTTCTTCTTCCTCCTCCTCCTCCTCCTCCTCCTCCTCCTCCTCCTCCTCCTCCACCACATCCTGATTCTCCCCTCCCCCCCACCCCCCCACCCCCCCGTCGCCACCACCCCCTCGCCCCCTCGTCATGACCCTCACCCCCCCCTCCCTCGAGGAAGGTGGCGGCTCGGGGGCCAGTCTCCTTGTCGAGACGCTCCTCGACCTTGGCCCAGTTCACCTCTCCGGGGGGAGGGATGGGCGGGCGGACTCCCCCCGTCGGGAGGAGCGGCGGAGGGGCGGAGCGAGGAGCGAGGAGCGAGAGGGGAAGGATGGGGCGAGGTGCGAGGGGCCGCGGGAGGAGCGAGGAGCGAGGAGCCCAGGGAGGGACGAAACGAGAAGCGTGAGGCGCGGAGGGAGGGAGGGCGGGCGGGCCGACGGAGCGCGGAGCGGGGAGCGACGCGAGCCTCGCTCCCCGCTCTTCGTGCCCCTCCCTCGCCCGGCGAGGGGAGGGCGCCCCCTGGCGAGGGGAGGGCGGCCCGCCAGGCGCCGGGCGGCCGCCTGCGCGCCCCCGCGCGCCGCCAGTGCAGCCCGAGCTCGCCCGAGGCTGGGCCGCACAGCGCGGGGGGGGCGGCTGCCGTGGATCTCCGCGCAGCACCCGCGGGCGGAGGCTGCGCAGGAGGAGGCGGAGGAGGAGGAGGAGGAGGGGGAGGAGGAGGAGGAGGAGGAGGAGGAGGAGGAGGAGGAGGAGGAGGAGGAGGAGGAGGAGGAGGAGGAGGAGAGGGAGGAGGAGGATGAGGAGGAGGAGGAGGCGGAGGAGGAGGAGGAGGAGGAGGAGGAGGAGGCCCCTGGAGCTCAGGTGTCTGCCTGAGGTGGGGCTATTTGCTTGCCCTTGAGGGCCGCTGCGGGGCAGAAAGGCGGCGCAGAGGAGTTCTCTTGCAGCCTGCGGGGCCTGCGCCGAGGGCTGGGCTGGGCGGGTACCCACCGCCGCACGAGGGCTCGCGGCAGCAGCTCCGAGGATCGGCGGCGCGGATGGACGGCGCGTGCGCCAGGTGCCAGGGGTAGGAGGGGCTGGGGTTGCGCGCTCTAGCAGGTCCCCCGCCCTACCGTTGAGCCCCTCGGCTGGGCCGACATCCCTCCCTCTTTTGGGACGCCCGAGCTGAGATCGATGCAGACAACGCTCCCCCGCGCACTCCTCGGGCGTCATATGACATGGAATACGGATCCGTGGATATGGCGCGTGGGCGCATGATCCGTGGATATGGCGCGCGGGCGCAAGATCCGCGGATCGGGGGAGGTAATTACACCCCGAAACATGATGCCAATGCCAGCGGCTTTGGCGACGGAGCGCGCCGATTCTGTAGGGCAATGGGACACGTTGCGATAACCCACGCGTATCAGTGAGAGTTTGCGCCTCCTCGAACTCTGCTGCCACCACACCCAGGGCCCGCGCGCCCCCAGGCTGTGACCCATGCGGACGCCTCCCCCGCAGAGGCGGAGGCGAAAGAAATGGAGGAGGGAGGCTGCGTCGGATTCGACGCTGGAGCCGTCAACGCCCAGCGCCCAGGTGGAGGTGGACGCAGTCCGCGGTGCCGGCCGACGCTCCCACTCCAGGGCCTCGAGGCCTCGGCCTCGACACAGGTCCGAGAGCACCCAGAGCCAGGGCAGGGGCCAAGGGCGAGGGGCAGGGCATCGGCAGGGGCCCCGCACCGTGCAGCCGGAGCTGGCCCCAGGAGCGGGGACGCAGCGGCGCGCCGCCGCTGAGCAGGCTGCCCCGCTCGGGGCGAGGGGCAGGGGGGACGGAGGAGGAGGAGGAGGAGGAGGAGGAGGAGGAAGAGGAGGAGGAGGAGGAAGGAAGGAGAGGAGGAGGAGGAGGAGGAGGAGGAGGAGGAGGAGGAGGAGGAGGAGGAGGAGGAGGAGGAGGAGGAGGAGGAGGAGGAGGAGGAGGAGGAGGAGGAGAGGGAGGACGAAGAGGAGGAGGAGGAGAGGAGGAGGAGGAGGAGAGAGGAGGAGGAGGAGGAGGGAGGAGAAGGAGGAGGAGGAGGAGGAGGAGGAGGAGATGCGGAGACCCCTCCCCCGTCGGGCTCGGCGCACCGCCGCGCGCCCTGGGAGGGCGCCGCGGCCCACCTCGTGGGCCGCTGCCGCGCGCGTGCTCGGCCGCGCGGGCGGCGGAGCGGGCCCCTGGCCGCACGCGCGGCGGGGGGGGACGGCTGCGCTCCTGCAGCTCCGAGCGCACCGCCGCAGTCCCGAGCGAAGCACCGACCGCGGAGCAAGGCGCCAAAAGCACTGCCCGACTCGCCGCCTGGCCCATCCCATCCCGTCCTGGTCCCTCTGCTGCTCCGCCTCGTCCTACCTTTCCTTCTCTTCCTCCTCGACCTCCTACCGTTCCCTTACTCTTCCTCCTCCTCATCCTCCTCTTCTTCTTATTGTGATGATTCGTATTATTATTAGTAGTGAGTTTCGTATTAGCATTAGTTAGTAGTATTCTTATTCGTATGCATAATGCTATTATTATTAGTTGTATGGTTCGTCTTACTCCTATGATTATTAGCAGTATCCTTACTATTAGTTGTATTATTAGTAGTGGTATTAGCCTTAGTGTTAGTAGTAATAGTATTGTTATGTTTAGCATTAGTTGTATGCTTCTGATTCGTTTTCTTATTATCATTTCTCCTCATCCTCCTCTTCCTCCTCCTCCACCTCCTCATCCTCTTCCTCCTCCTCCGCCTCCTCCTCCTCCTCACCCCCATCCTCCTCTTCCTCTTCCTCCTCCTCCTCCTCCTCTTCTCCGCAGCCGCCACCGAAAACGCCGAAGCTGCCGCCGCCTCCGCCTCCACTTTTACTTCCCGGCGTCATTGCCTCGATCCCTATCTTCCCCCGCTCCCCCTCCTCCTGACCTTCTCAAACATGACATCTGTCTGGTTGTGCTTGGCGACGAGCAAAGGACGCCTCCCATACGGGATGGACTTGAAGATCTGCAGGCACAGCCCTACGCAGGTCTTGTCGGCCGCGAGCCAGACCCAGTCTGGCACGGAAGGGGGAGGGCAACAAGCAGGCCAGGCAGAGCATGGCTCGGGGTGAGGACACGCGGGGCAGGCTGGTCAGAGAGCTCGGCGCGATGAGAAACGTACAGGGGAGCTGCAAGTGGCTCAAAAAAATAGCAGGACAAATTCAACAGGTGGGCCTGAGAGGAGATGAGAAGGGCAGGGGGCAGCCGGGAGCAGGCGAGCAGGCATGGATACGACGGGCAGGCAGAAGGGATGCTGGGGAGAAGTGGACGCGGGTGAGACGAGGGGAGGAAGTATGAGCTGATGGCCAGAGAGCAAAAGGGAGGGTGAGGAGAAGATTACGAGGCGAAGGCAGCACGGAGGCAGCAGAAGCGGGGTGCTGTAGGCTATGTCAGCGAATGAGTTGAGGGCACGGCAGCCAGGACATAAAACCATGGCGACGACCAGCGACAGCGTCAGAGGCAGCAACGACAGCGAGGGCGGCAGCGGCAGCAACGGCATGCGCTGTGAAGCACACCCAGGTATTCGCACCGTCTTCGTCGCCGACGTCGTCCTATTCCTCCACCTCCACCTCAACCTCCACCTCCACCTCCACCTCCTCCGCCTCCTCCTCCTAGACCGACCCCTCGCTGCAGGCGGCGCCTCTATTGTCGTTCGCGCTCTGCTGCTTGACGCCGCCGTAGGTGATCCAGGTCTGGTCCTCCAGCTGCTGCTTCATCGTCTCGAAGGCGGCCTGGTGGTCCTCGGCGGTGAAGACGCCGTCGTCGTGGAGCTTGCCGTCCCAGAGGAAATACTGGGTGATCAGATCCTGGAGGCGGCCAGGCGGCGGCGGGCCGCCGCTCCCGGAGGTCGTCTCCTCATAAAACTTCGCTATGTCCTCGTCGGAGAAGTCCTCCGCGAACACCCGGATGGCCGGACGGCCGCGAGGGCAGGGCGAGCAGTCCAGCGGGGGGGGGGGGGGCGTCGGTCTGTGCTTCACGGGGGGGGAGCAATGAACGGAGGAGGAGGAGGGGGAGGAGGAGGGGGGAGTAGTAGTAGTAGTATAGTAGTAGTAGTAGTAGTAGTTGTAGTAGTAGTAGTATAGTAGTAGTAGTTAGTAGTAGTAGTAGTAGTAGTAGTAGTAGTAGTAGTAGTAGTAGTAGTGTAGTAGTTAGTTAGTAGTAGTAGTATAGTAGTAGTAGTAGTAGTAGAGTAGTAGTAGTAGTAGTAGTAGTTAGTAGTAGTCGTAGTCGTAGGTCGTAGTCGTAGTAGTAGTCGTAGTAGTATAGTAGTAGTAGTAGTAGTAGTAGTAGTAGTAGTAGTAGTAGTAGTAGTAGTAGTAGTAGTAGTAGTAGTGTAGTAGTAGTAGTAGTAGTAGTAGTAGTCCTAGTCGTAGTAGTAGTAGTAGTAGTAGTAGTAGTAGTAGTAGTAGTAGTAGTAGTAGTAGTAGTAGTATAGTAGTAGTTAGTAGTAGTAGTAGTAGTAGTAGTAGTAGTAGTAGTAGTTAGTAGTAGTAGTAGGAGGAGGAGGAGGAGGAGGAGGAAGAGGAGGAGGAGGAGGAGGAGGAGGAGGGGGGAAGGGAGGCTCGCCCTTCGTGCGCCCCTTCGAGGCCCCCAGGGGGCTCCCGTTCGGGGCCCCCTCTCCTGCAGCCGTGGCTCCCCTCGCCCTCGCCCCCCCGTGGGGAGACGCCCGAGGCGTGCGCCCGCGGGGGGAAAGGGGGGGGCCCTGGAGGGGGAAGCGGCTACAGCCATCGTGCTGCCGCGAGGGAGCGCCTGAGAAGCAGCGGAGGGGGCTCCTCTCCGGCCACGGCGAGCGTCGGCCACGGAGAGGTCCCACGACCAAGGCCCGAGGAGCCGCCCGGAAACCGGAGCCCGGCCTGAGCCCGAACAGGGGCGCCCGACTTCGCGCTTCGCGCTGCGCGAGGCGCGAATAGCTTCGAGCTCTCGCACTCGCACCGACCCTCAAGGGAGAGGAGGAGGAGGAGGAGGAGGAGGAGGAGGAGGAAGAGCAGGGGGAGGAGGAGGAGGAGGAGGAGGAGGAGGAGGAGGAGGAGGAGGAGGAGGAGGAGCCGAGCCGCGAAGCGCGACCCGGGAATAACTTTGCGCCCTCGAGGGCGCCCTTGCCAAACTGGTCCGTATTCCAGCGTCTTGACAGCACTGCTGGAGGCTTGGAAATGGGCACCAACACCAGCACAAAGTGTCGCCTCAACCGGAGGAAGATGATCCTAGATTCCGGTGCTGGTGGCAATCTCTCGGCAACCTGGGAGGCCCGAATACGACCGCCATCGTCGAGGTCGGGATCACTTTCTCTCGGTGCAGGCGACCGCCGATAATGGTGCTTGCTGGTGCCAACCTCTAGGCCTCCAGTACTGGAACCCGGGGTTGACAGGCAGCGACACGGGGGAACTGGCCCAGGCGGGGAAACGTCGAGCTCAACTCGGCATTACATCGACGATGGATCGGCGATAGACCCCTGACAGCAAATCCGCACGCTCCTGGGCGGGGTGGGCTGTCGGGCCCTATCGGCGCTGGATGTGCGTCTGGGGGTCGATGCATCTTCCCCGGAGCATCCCCCCATACCTTTACGCGTGAGGGATCCTCCCTGGGACAAGTCTCTCACCCCGAGCCGTCACGGGGACCATGACAAAGTCTGGACGCGAAAACGTCGTGTCGACCTTGGTCACTGTTGGTCAGCGTCAGTTCGTGGATCATCCTCGCGAATCGGCGACGGCCGACCCGAACCATGACCAAGATCGGCATCGACGAGATCCCGCGACATCTTGGTCGTCGTCCTCGAGCTTCTTCCCTCGACGCTTTGGCGGCCCTGAGGGAGAGGATCGGGCGCAAGACTCCGGAGGCCCTCCCCGGCACCAGCTTCTCGAGCGAGGGGGGGAAGTGAGAAGGCAAAGGCCTTCTCAGAAGGCTCGGACGTCCCCCAGCCCTCTGAGAAGTGTTCTGAGCCTTCCCCAAAGACACAAAAAAACCTCTCCGAAGGCGCGAGGGCTTCTGAGAAGTCCGGCCGGAGGAGTCTCTTCGCCCAACCCTTGGGAACCCCTTCGGGGTCTCCTGGGTGTTCCCTGGGAGCCCCTTGGGGATCTCTTGGGCCTTCCTGGGGGGGCCTCTTGGGCGCCTCACGGGGCTTCGTGGGAGCCTCTCAGTTGCCTCTGGGGGCCTACTGGGGGCCCCTAGGGCCAGAGACCTCGAAATATAGGTTGGCGGTCCCCCTCTGGGCCCCCTCTTGGGGAGCTCTTGTGGCACACTTGGGTTGTCTGGGAGGCCTCCCGCAAGGCCCGACCCAAGGTTTTGGTCGGGCCTGTCCCCCCACAGGCGGACTTTGGACGAAAAGTGAAAAACGTACCCCAACCATATTCCAAAAAATGCTCCGAAGTTGAAAGCAACACCTCGTCCCCAGTCTCCAGTCTTTGACTATTTCTGCACATCCCCCCTGCAGAGGGACCGGCCCGTTGGCAGCCCCGCTGGCGACCCGCCCCGAGGGGGGCCCCTCGTGGCCCGGCTCCCGGCGGGCTGCGCCCGCGCGGGGCCCGCCCGTGGCCCCCGGGGGGGAGGGGGCGCCCCGGGGAGCCCCCGAGAGGGCGGGAGCGCGGGGGCCCTCGGCCCTCGATCCGGAGGGCTCCTCCTCCTCCTCCTCCTCCTCCTCCTCCTCCAGGGAGGGCCTCCGGGGGAGGGGGCTCTCCGGGAGGGGGCTCCGCACCCCCCATCTTGGCGAGGTTCCGAGGCCCCAGATGGGGCTCTCTGGAGAGCCCCCTGCCCAAGAACCCCCTCTTCCCAGAACCCTCCGGTCGATGGGCCACCCTGCGCTGCCGCAAGAAGTCTCCGGGGATCTCTGGAGGTCCCCCGAGTTCTCCGCGGAGATCGCCGAGAGCCTCCCGAGGCCCAGGAGGAGCAAAAAGCGCCGACGGGAAGTGGTCTCACCCCACATGCCGCCGTAGGGCCATCGCGTCGGTCTCGCTGAGCGAAGCTGCAATTCCCCCAGAGACAGTGCGCGGCGGCAGAGCGGAGACGGGGAGAAGGAGGAGGAGGAGGAGGAGGAGGAGGAGGAGAAGGAGGAGGAGGAGGAGGAGGAGGAGCAGGAGGCGGAGGAGGCGGAGGAGGAGGGAGGAGGCGGAGGAGGGGGAGGGAGAAGAGGAGGAGGAGGAGAGGAGGAGGAGGAGGAGAGGAGGAGGAGGAGATGATGAGGAGGAGAGGAGGAGGAGGAAGAGGAGGAGGAGATGAGGAGGAGAGGAGGAGGAAGAGGAGGAGGAGGAGGAGGAGGAGGAGGAGGAGGAGGAGGACGGGAAGGAGGAAGAGGGAGGAGGAGATGAGGATGGTGGAAGAGAGGAGGAGAGGGGATGGTATGGAGACGGAGGAGGAGGAGGGGGAGGAAAATGACGCACACTTAGCAGAAAGAAAGTACCAATGGCAGGCCGAACTCTAACGGCTGTTACAGCTAAACAGGCTTGGCCGACGATGCAGCAGCATAAGATGGTCGACCAAAGTGCCTCGCGCAACTTAGCGTCCCATCCCCTAGGGATGCCCGTACCCCTGAGCTTCCCGAAAGGCTTGACGAACACTGCCTTCAAGGCAAAGCTACGCGGAATTGAAATGTCACGGAGTCGGTGCGGCACCAAGGCAGGTCTGTCTGGAAAAGGGCGACCACAGGAACAAGTGGTTCGAGTAACTATTCTGCCCTGGCCATGCTTCTTGTGGTCAGGATGTTGTAAATTGCGCTCCCTCTTCAAATTGGATGCGATGTGCGCCGATCTGGGTGCTCGATTACACACCTTAGCCAGGTCAACCACAGACTTGCCGTCCGTCAGACATCCGCACTTGAGGCATATGACCATGACTCCCTGCGGGTAGGAAGTGACATGCAGATTGTGACCCTGAGGGTTGGCAATCATTGCCTTGAGCCGGCGCTTCTCGCCAGGGCCGGTCCCTGGCAGGGGGGAAACCAGTACTGAAAGGGTGGCCTTGGTCCGCACTGAGTTGCACCGCGGGGTTCGCACGAGATCTGCCCATGCGTAGCCCGCAGTGCCAGGCATTGCGGTGCCAGAGCCACTGATGAAGAAGAGGGGGAGAGGGGGAGCCGGGGGAAGAGGAGGAGGAGGAGGAGGAGGAGGAGGAGGAGGAGGAGGAGGAAGAAGTTGGCCGCCCAGCGCACCGCGGGGCTGCGCTGCTTCGCACCCCCCGCGGCCGCCCAGCTCGGGTGCACCCGGTGGCGAAGCCAGGGCCCTCGCTGTGCCCTCTCCTCCCCTTCCGGGCCGGAGGTCTGCTGCGGCAGCACTTCCCGCGCGGTGGGCCGGCGCGGGAGGTCGAGCACGGACAAGAGGACGCGCCTTGCCACCCTCACGCGGGGGGTCCCAAAGCAACGGCGCCTCGGGGGCACCACGCAAATTCTGGCCTCGAGGTACTCTCAAGACATGATCCTCCTCTTCCGCCAGCTCGAGCTCCCTCTGGGACGGCCGGGGGAGGGCATCGGCTGCGGCCCTTGCGACTGCCTAGTGCTGGAAGTCTCTGCTCAGAACCTACTGTTAAATCGGGCCTGTCCCCCTACACGGGGGATTTTCGGCGAAAGTTAAAAGATACCCCAGAAATACCCCAAGAAGGTCTAAAGATACTCATAAAATAGTCCCCAGACAATTTTGGGACTATGTTTGGAATATGTTTGGGGTATTTTTATTTTTCGTCGAAAATCCCCCTGTGGGGGGACAGGCCCGACTTAAACCTACTGCCAAGGCGTCCAGGATGTGGTGGGCATTGACTCTGAGCACCTTCATGTCCGATGTCCATGTCCGATGTCCAGAGAAGAACTTGCTCCGGCTGTTAGCAGAAAAGCCAGCTCATAATGGATACGGACAAGGTTCTGGTAGTCCCTGAATGTGTCTGTGGCTTGGGGACAATGTGAAGCAATTGCAAATTGGCGAACCTACTCCGCAGCGGCAGAGGATTGCTTCAAATAAGACCCCACTGGTCCACTGAGATAGGCTACGAGCTATCCTGATGCATCGATTTGGGCGACTCACCATCCTGACCAATGAAAGTGATCGGGGACCCTCTTCAGACAGCTCCTATCCAGAACAAGATGACCCGACATAACTTCCTTGACATGTCCGTCGATAGTCGACCAATATACATGAGCTTCATGACCAAAGCCCTCGAGGACCGCCTAGTAGCCGCAAAGCGAAGGCTAATTTCGAGAGGAGTCGTCCAGAACAAACTTGGCTTCCAGCGAAAGCATGTACGCTCGAATATCGGACGTTCGACAGCAACTGGCAATGCGATGATGAAGAGAATCGCGTTCACCACAATGCTCAAATACAGGATCGACGTCGTACCCTGCTTGTGCTAACCGCTCCCGTGTCCACGCTGTCTGGACCAAGAAGGAAGACAACATGCACTTCTGGGAGGGCCCAAGAGAATTTGAACGCTGTAGGTGCTGAGCAGCGACAGCATGGACACGATCGCCCTCCTGCATGCCCAACTTACCTGCAGCACGAGGAGGAGGAGGAGGAGGAGGGAGGAGGGAGGAGGAGGAGGAGGAGGGGGAGGAGGAGGAGGTGAGGAGGAGGAGGAGGAGGAGGAGGAGGAGGAGGAGGGAGGAGGAGGGGAGGCGGAGAGGAGGAGGAGGAGGAGGAGGAGGAGGAGGAAGGAGGAGGAGGAGGAGGAGGAGGAGGAGTTCTGCGGAGGAAAAGGGCCCCCACGCGTGCGCTGCCCGGCCCCCCGTCGCGGCCGCCGGGATGGGCGGCCTGCGGTAGTCGTCCTCCCACGGCTGCGGCTCCCTCTGCTTCTGCGCGGTGGCCCTCCGGGCCGCGAGGCCCCGCCCCGCGCTCGCCAGCGGCCGCCGCCGCGCCAGGATCGAGGCGCGCCCGCGGGGCGCCGCCGCGGCGAAGCCCGGCTGGCCGCCTCGAGGCCAGGGGGGCGGGGGCTGCTGCTGCACGTCCTCCTGCTTACCTCCTGCCTCTCCTCCCCCTCCTCCTCCTCCTCTCCTCCTCCTCCTCCTCCTCTCCCTCCTCCTCCTCGTCCTCTTCCTCCTCCTCTCCTCCTCTCCTCCTCCTCCTCCTCCTCCTCCTCCTCCTCCTCCCCTCTTCCCCCTTCTCATCATCATCGTCCTCCTCCTCTGCCTCCTCCTCCTGGTTCCTGGTTCGTGGCGGCACGAGGTCCAGGTAGGAGCTGCCTCCCCCCCCCGCCCCAGGGCTGGTCGGCCCTGGGGAGCTGGTCCAACTGAGTACCCCGCCGCCGCTGTGGGGGCCCAAAAGCTTCCGGCGCTCCGGTGTGTCCGACGCGTGGGCGCCGGGGCCTCTCCCTGGGGGTCCCCAAGGCGGTGTGGAGACACACCGTGGGAACCTCACGGCACGGTCCGTCGCCAAACGGTCTTGGGACCCTGGAGGCCCCGGCCGCCCGAGACGGCGGGGGGCCCGAGTCCCAAATCAGACCGCCCCGGCATTTCTACAGGCCTACCGCGACGTGTTCTCAGAACCCCGAAATGTTCTAAGAACCAAACCAAGATTCTTAGAACATAAGCCCGATGTGTTAAAACAAAACAGTCCCAGCCAGAAATGTTATCAGAAGATTTCGTGGGAACCACAAGAGGCTCTTAGAGCAGCGTTTGGTAGGCCTGTAGGCACGCCAGGACGCTTCGCCACTGCTTGAGAATCCCCACTGGCTCACCTCACGGTGTGGCCACCACATCGCTGGGGCCACCCCGTGGGCCTCTCGACCCCCACCCTCTAGGGGCTGGCCTCTCTGAAGGGCAACGATGGGGGGGGGGGGGACTGGCCAAAGGGGAGGGGGAGCATCGACCTGGAATCGGCGATGCATCGCCGAGAAGAGCGGCGGCAGCTTCCCGATCGCACAACCGCACGTTCCTGGGCGGGGTGGGCTGTCGGGCCCCCGTCGGCGACGCATGGGCGATTGGGGGGTCGACGCATCCCCCCCTGAGCAGATCCCCTCCAGACCAAGAGAAGAAAAAGCGCCATAAACATAAGTAGGTGGCCACATGTGGACCCTACCCGTAGGTCGGGCATGTCCCCGTACAGGCGAATTTTGAAAAATATTCAAAAATACCAAGAATTGTCAAAAAATCGTCACCTGACTATTTTTTGACTATTCTTGAATATTCCCCCTGTAGAGGGACAGGCCCGATCAGTCCGCTCAGAACCTCCCGAAAGAACTGAGCACCCGCCACCCCTCAGACATCGTGGGGGGTGGGGGTAGGGCTCACATGTGGCCACCGAACAAACTTTTTTAATGCTCCGCGCGGGTTTCTTGGATCTGCGCTGGACCCCCCCCCTCCCTGGCGCGCCGAGCGCGCCAGGGGCGGCGCCGGAGGCGCCGCCGGGGGGTGGGCCTGGCGCGGGTCCAAGAAGCCCGCGCGGAGCGCCAGCAAAAAAAAATGCTCATGGCGCTCGTTCGTCTCCCGTGGTGTCCGTGGCCCCGTGGTGTCCCGTGGAGTGAGATCGACAGTGAGATCGCTCGAGTCAGATGTTGGTTCCTCCCCCCCACAACCTCCTTGTCACCCGAAGGGTGGTCGTATAGGTATGATGCTCATGGCGCTCGCTCTTCGCCAACTGCTGCCGTCGCTCCCGACGGCCACCTCCCCGCCCCGGGCCGCTTCCCGAGCCGGAGGCCCAGGGCGGCGGCAGGCCGGCCGCCTCCCGAGCACCTTCCACACGGTGGAGGGCTCGGGGCGGAACCCGCGCGGGCTTCTGCGCCTCGTCGGAGCCCCGACTGATCAGGGGTAACTTGGGCCAGGCCTAACTCGGGTTCGTTTTTTTCGGGAACCCGAGCCCGAGTTACCCCGGGCCCGAGCTACCCCGGAGAATGCGGGCGTCCAGAGCCCCAAATCATCAGGGGTAACTCGGGTCAGGGCTAACTCGGGTTCATCATCAGGGAATCCAGGCCCGAGTTACCCCGGGCCCGAGTCGCCCTGGGCAACTCGGGCGCCCACCCTCGAAAACCCGCCCATCTTGTGAGTGAGTGATGCACCTGTTGCAGGTTCGAACCTCGAAGATCCATCGGAACGGCACTCCAGATCACTCACCCTCCGCCCTCCACCCACAAAGGACATGCGCGGGCCTCGATCTGCCCTCCCGAGGTGCGGGAGGCCCGGGGGCCCTGAGAGCTCCGGAGGCGGCGCGGCTCCCCCCGGGGCACCTCCTCCCGGGGGCCGGCTTGGCATCCGTGGGGCGACGGGGCAGACACAGTCGGGGCGTTGACTCAGGTCGGGCACGTCCCCCGCCGGCGGATCTTGGGCGACAAATGAACAAATACTCGACCATGCTTCCAAATAGCCGGAACATGCCGAAAAGAGATCGTCCCCAGACTATCCTTCTTGACTATGTTTGAAGATTCCTCCTGTAGACGGACATGCCCGACTTAAGCGTTGACCTGAGGAACGACAAATCAGGAGCGAGGCCCCTTCTTTTTGAACGCCCGAAATGGGTACGGAAAAATGGGTACAATGCCCAACAACAAATGTTGTCCCAAATCAACAGCGGCCGCTGTTGGACAGGCGGCCTTCTGTCTCGAATGGCCACAAGCCGCGGCGGCGTGGACAGCGGATCCTGTTCAAAATGAACCAAATCCGCTGTTGGGTATTGTACCCATTCTTTCCGTGCCCATGTCGGTCGTGCAGATTCTTCCCCACTGAGCCCACGAGATCAGACGGAACGCCAGGGGGCCTCGCCGCCCAGAAGGGAGCGGAGCGCACGAGCAGACCCAAGGAACGGCCGAGCCCCTCTCGGAAAGCAGGTGGACCCGACCCGGCGCCCCGACGGTACACACAGCGGAGGCCAGTCCACAGGAAACCTTCCACGAGAAGCCCAACCCTGAGACCCCAGATCGCCCATCATCGCAAAACCATCGAAACACAAGGAACCCAGGGCGCCCTGGAGGCCGGCAGGGTGTCTCTTGGCATGGGCCTTCACTGTACCCACCACCACTTTGGAGTCCCGAAACGGTGCGGTGACAGACCGTGCGGTGACCTCGAAATCCCCCCTGAGACCTCACCGCACGGTCCGTCAACGCACGGTTTTGGGACCTCGGATGCACCAGTCGCCCGAGACGCCCTCGGAGAACGACCCGAGCCCCAAAACCGCGCGGTGACCCCGAATTCCCACAGAGTTCACCACGCGGTGTGGTCACCACCCCGTTTGGGGGCCCCCGAGCTACTGGCCAGGCCCATCTGGAGCCCGGAGCGGTGCCCGCGCCCCCCTGGCCTGGCCAGGGAGGCCTGTGCACCGCTGCTGGGCCCAGGAGAGACCTGGCCAGTGGCGGTGGACGCGGACGCCTTGGGCCCACAACTCCGACGTCGGCGTGGTCCTCCTCCTCCTCCTCCTCCTCCTCCTCCTCCTCCTCCTCCTCCTCCTCCTCCTCCTCCTCCTCCTCCTCCCTCTTCGTAGGGACTAGCTTTCGAACCAGAGCCTTCTGTGGCAGCTCATGTGAGCTTCCCATGCCACCTTGCTGGCTTGCGAGTCGACGCTAACCGACGCCAATCGACGCTGAGTCGACACCCAACCGAAGCAAGCCGACGCTAGAAACAGCGCCTCCTCGTCGATTACCGGACGCCAGCGCACGTTCCTGCACTCCAAGGTGGAATCTCGAGGACACGCAGGGCGCCCATGGTTTGGCCCCCGAAGACACCTCTTCCCGAGACTGGCTTTCCATCTAGAGCCGTTTGTAGACGGCCCCGGGGCCTGGCCGGGGTCCCAGAGGTAGGGCTACGAAATCTGTACATACCTATACGACCACCCTTCGGGTGATAAGGAGGTTCGGGGATGGGGGAGGAACCAACGTCTCATTCGATCGGTCTCACTATCGATCTCACTATCGATCTCACTATCGGTCTCGCTCGATCGATCTCACTCGATCGATCTCACAATCGATCTCACTCGATCTATTTCATTCGATCGATCTCACAATCGATCTGACTATCGATCTCACAATCGATTACTATCGATCTCACAATCGATCTCACATTCGGTCTCACTATCGATCTCACTATCGATATCACAATCGATCTCACAATCAACGTGATCATCATCATCATCATCATCATCATCATCATCATCATCATCATCATCATCAACAGCATCGTCATCAACGTCATCAACATCATCATCCTCATCATCATCATCATCATCATCATCATCATCATCAGCATCATCATCATCATCATCATTATCAGAATCATCATCATAATCATCATCATCATCATCATCATCATCATCATCATCATCATCGGGACACCACCATCATCAGCATCACCTCATCACCATCATCGTCAACATCATCATCATCATCATCATCACCAGCATCATCATCATCATCAGCAGCAGCAGCATCATCATCATCATCGGGACACCATCATCGTCACCATCATCATCATCATCATCATCGGGACACCAGCATCATCTTCCTCATCGGAGCACCATCATCATCATCATCATCTTCTCATCATTATCATCATCATGAACAACATCATCAACATCATCATCATCGGGGCACCATCATCATCATCATCATCATCATCAGCAACATCATCATCAACATCGTCATCTTCGGGACACCATCATCATCGTCACCATCACCATCATCATCATCATCATCATCATCATCATCATCATCATCGGGACGCCAACATCATCATCAACATCAGCATCATCATCACCATCATCGGGTCACCATCATCAAAATCATCATCATCGTCATCATCATCATCATCATCATCAACCTCATCACCATCCTCATCATCAACATCATCATCATCGGGACACCATCATCGTCATCATCATCACCAGCATCATCATCATCAACATCATCATCGGGACACCATCATCATCATCACCATCATCATCAACAGTATCATCATTAACCTCATCATCACCATCATCATCGGGACACCATCATCATCATCTTCATCATCATCTTCCCATCATCAGGATCATTAACATCATAATCATCATCATCATCATCATCATCATCATCATCATCATCTTCATCATCACCATCATCATCATCATCATCATCATCATCATCATCATCATCATCATCATCATCATCGGCACACCATCATCATCATCATCATCAGCAACATCATCATCATCATCATCATCATCAACATCATCATCATCGTCAACATCATCATCATCATCACCATCACCATCATCATCATCATCATCATCATCATCATCATTGGGACACCATCGTCATCACCACCGTCACCACCATCATCATCATCATCATCATCATCATCAACATCGTCAACATCATCACGATTGAGACACCGTCATCATCACCACCATCACCATCATCATCATCATCATCATCATCATCATCAACATCATCGACATCATCATCACCGTCATCATCGGGACACCGAAGGGACACCGGCGGGACACCGGCGGGACACCGCGCGCCACCGGACGCCTGAAGGGAGTCATTTGGTCTGGCCGCGCCTCAGCCACAGCGAGACACCGGCGGGACACCGCGCGCCACCGGACGCTGAAGGGAGACATTTGGTCCGGCCGCGCCTCAGCCACAGGAGCCTTTCTTCTCGCCCGCCCACGCAGCTTCGCCTCGCCCGCACGCACGGCACGCACGAGCACGAGACCGAAACCGATTTCCCGGTAGGGGGGGCTCTCTGTTCCACTTCGATCTCGCCCCCTCACCTCCGATCCACGGCTCCCTGGCCGGGCCCACCCCGAACCCAGCAGCGGTGTACCCGCCACGCCCTCGTGGCTTGGCCAGGAGGGCGTCTACTGCGCAGCTCCTGGGTTCAGGATGGGCCTGGCCAGGGAGCAGTGGATCTGTATAGATCTCGTCGCCCGAAGAGGCCGAGAAAACTCCCTCCCAAAAAAGTCCCGCCTGGACCTTCTACCGACGAGGGCGCAGTCTGTGGGGAGACCGAAATGCACCGATACCGCTACTCCCTGGGCCTCTTGTGGGGTGCGCTCTGACCAGGATTTCGAGGCGCATCCCGCGGTGGCGACGAGGGAGGCCCAGGAGGCCCAAAAGGGAGAAAACGAGGCGAGGGTAGAGGTATGGGTACCTTTTCCTCCTCTCAGTCTGGGGGGGGAGGCCCGCCTGGCCGCGCGCCCCGCGGCAGCAGCAGCACCGCCAGCGCCGCCGCCGTCGCCAGCCGCAGCCGGGCCCCGCCCGAAACCCCGTCGCGGCACTGCCGCCGCCGCGCCGCGGCGGCCCTCGGTGGCCTCGTGGGGGCGAGAAACGTGTCCGCATCCGCCGGCCCCTCCTCCCCCTCCCTCCCCTCCCTCCCTACCTCCCTCCTACTCCCTCCCTCTCCTCCTCCTCCTCCTCCTCCTCCTCCTCCTCCTCCTCCTCCTCCTCCTCCTCCTCCTCCCGCGGATACAAGGCGGTCGTTCGCGGATGCCCCACGCGGCACGTATCTGCGCGGCCGCGTGTCCGCGGGATCGCGACCTGGGACCCAAGACCCCCGACGCTGTGATGTCTTCACGCCGTCGACCTCCAGAGGTCTCGACCTGCCCCCAGGGACCAGCTTGTTATCCTGAGTAATCGTTTGACTGTCCTGGGGCCCGCGAGGGCCTCGGGAGGCCGAAAACAAAGAACAACCTCCGCCTCGATCTTGTTCGAGAGGCTGGATGTCTGAGGACACCCTGACATCCGCCGATGTGAGTTCTTCAGCCCGCGGCCCAAGAGGTCCCAACCGATTCCCCAGCCGCAGTTTTGCGTCCCGGACCCATGGTTGATGGCCCCAGTACCCAAAAGGGCCCCATAGAGGGCCGAAGTAGAAGGAAAATGCCCAGGCTGAAACCAAAAAACATAAGAACAGCGTCGGAGGTCTGGATACCCAGACCCCCGACGCCAGGCTTTTTGCTCATGGCGTGGACACCCAGCGGTCTGGACCCCTTCCCAGGGACCCGCTTCTCATCCCGACCCGGTTTTTGACGGTCCCGAGGGCTAGCGAGAGCATCCTGAGGCCGCAAGTGGCGGGAAACCTCCCGTCATCTTTGTCGGTGGCATCTACTGGGAGCTTCCCGTAGCATTGACGCTGATCGACGCTAAATCGACGCTGAGTCGACGCAACATCGAAGCTAAATCGACGCTAATCGACGCTAACCGACGTTGAATCGGCGCTCTCTCATCGACTCGCAGACGCGAATCGAGGCAAACCGACGCCAAAGACGCAATTAGCAGGGTAGACGAGACTCCCATGATTTGCTGCCAAAATGTGTTGTTTCGTCCCTGAAAGGGTCTGGGGATACGGACGTGTTTAGAGGCCCCTGCATGGGGTCGAAGTAGATGGGGTCGGAGGGTCGCGCCGCATCGCCGATACATCGCCGATACATCGGCGATGCATCGGTGATGCACCAGCGATGCACTGGCGACGTCGGCGATGCATCGGCGAGGTCGACGTGGAGTAAATCGGGCCCAACATCGCGCCGCATCATCGATGCATCGACGATGCGGCGTGATCCTCCGACCCCATCTTCGGCGGTGGACAAACCTCCCTTTGGTAAACCACCCATTTTTATTGAAAACGGCCTAGGACCGACACTGACGGACATGGACCCGCACATAGGACGGCCGCGACGCCCCCTCGCGAACCGAAAACAACCAATTCGCTGATCGACGTGTTAGGGCAGGTCTTATCAACCTCCGACATCTGCTACGAAAACGGCCAATTCGCTAATCGCTAATCGACGTGGAGAAAGTCGGGCCCAGCATCGCGCCGCATCGTCGATGCATCGACGATGCGGCGCGATCCTCCGACATCTGCTCCGACCCCATCCAGGATTATGTTGCTCCCATCGTACTTCAGGACCACATCCCAGGAATCATGTCGAGCACCCAGAAAAGTGTCGAAACAGTGTCGAGCGAGTGTCGCCCCCCAGGGCCCGACACGTGGAGACCCTCGCGTTTCGGCACTTTTCTGGTGCTCGAAGATTCTTTCTGGTGCCCAAGGCTAAGATAGGTTGGAACATCATGAATCCAGGAGGCCTATTGGTGTTCGCCCCTTGTTTGGCGGCGCGCACAAGGGGGTGGAGGGAGGGGGGAGGGCTTCTTAGAAGGAGGCTGCTTCTCAGAAGGCGCCAGCCTTACATCAATCGGTAAGGCCCGCGCCTTCTAAGAAGCAGGGGTGCCTACTTAGAAGCCCTCCCGCCTCCCCCCACCCCCCTCTGCGCGTGGCTGACTTATGGTGGACCCCGCCGCGCGGCCGGGCGGACCCGCACCCCCCCGCCGCGCGGCGCCTCCGCGCGCCACCTCCCCCCGGGGGGGGGGACCGCCCCGCGGCAAGCCGGGCCGGGCCCTCCGAGCCGAGAGCGCGCGCGCGCTCGAGCGGCTCCAGGCGGGGCGGCTCCAGGCAGGAGCTCCTGCTCCTCGTCCTCCTCCTCCTCCTCCTCCTCATCTCCTCCCTCCTCCTCCTCTCTCCTCGTACCTCTCCTAATCCTCCTCCTCCTTCCTCCTCCCTCACTCACTCCCTACCTCCCCTACCTCATCGTCCTGCCCCCACCCTCCCTCCTCCTCCTCCTGACTGGTCCTATCATCAGATTGCTGCCTACTCCGCATGCCCTCACACTGCCGAATGATTCTCCGCGTGATCCTCGTACTCATCCTCGCTGAATAACCTCCTAGGTCCGCCTCCTCCGTTCTCCGCCCGCACGCCTAAATCCTCCGCCCTCCTCCTCCCCTTCCTCCTCATCCTTCTCTCCTCCTCCTCCTCCTCCTCCTCTCTCCCTATCCTCCTTCCTCCCCCTCCCCCTCCTCCGCCTCCTCCCCCCCCCCCCTCCTCCTCCTCCTACGCCGGCCCTCTCCGCCTTCCTCCGCCTCCTCACCGCCTCCTCCTCCTCCTCCTCCTCCTCCTCCTCCTCCTCGTCATCCTCATCCTCATCCTCCTCCTCCTCCTCCTCCACCTCCTCCTCCGCCTCTCCTCCTCCTCCTCCTCCTCCTCCTCCTCCTCCTCCTCCTCCTCCTCCTCCTCCTCCTCCTGCGATCGCATTCACAACCGCCAGCCCAGAATCGAATCCCGTTAAGCCGGATCGGCGATCGAAATGGATCGGATCGGCGGGAATCGGCAGCGGAGCCGGGAGAAGTCAGATCGGCAGAAGTCGGCGGGCAAGTAGGGGCCTCAATTTTGAGAAATCGGAATGCAGATCGGAATCCGAAACCGAATCGAATCGGAATCGGGACCCATCGAAATCGAATCGGATCGAATCGGGGAGATCTGGGTGCCCAGAAGTCCGACGGGCATCCCGCGTCGTGAGAGTAGAACCCGCACGCGGGCGCAAGGGTGGACGAGAAGGACCGGCGCCGGTCAGAGCGAGCGGTGGGGTGCAGCGGAAGCGAGGAAAGGCACGAAGCGATAGAGCAGGAGGGCGAGAAGGTGACAAGAGAACGCGACGGACCGTGTTTCCAAAGTTTCGGCCCCCGACCGTCGACAAACCACTTTGGATGAAGAGCCTGTCCCGGGGAACGGGTCGAGACCTCTGGGGTCGACGTTATGAAAATCGGGGCGGACGGTTTTGGGCCGTCCTCGACCTCCAGGGGCCCTCCACGGGCCCCGGCCCTGGGGAAGCTGTCCAGACCCCCGCAGCTCCACGCAGGCAAGAAGAGCTGGAGCGCACGGGGTCTGGGCAGGCAGCGGCACGCGAAGCCCCTCTTGAGGTCCTGGGGTGGCAGGTCCTTCGCGGCGTGCGATGTTGCATTGCGTCGGGCCTCCGAGCCCTCACGGATCGAGCCAGCTCGAGGCCTGCAGCAGCAAGGTGAGGCGAGGCTCTGGCGCTGATGCTTCACGATGCTGCAAAGTTTGTTCGCTGCGTCAGACTTCATGGCCTGCGCGAGGGGCTCCAGGCGGAGACCCGTGTGGGAAATCACAGGATCCCCCCTCGGGAAAACCCCGGACAAAAAAAAAACGAGTTGGGTTTTTTTCTGTCACGGGTTCTTCCCCCCGGATCCCGGGGGAAGGAGGGGGGGAAGCCTGGGGAGTTTTGGGGGGCGGTTCTGGGTGCCCGACATTTTCAAACAATAGAATTTCCGGAACAAGCCCTAACATTATGTCGGGCGTGTCCCCCTACAGGGGGATCTTCAGCGAAAAATCAAAGACACTCAAGAAATACCCCAAACATGTCAAACATACTCCAAAAACAAGTGGGACGTGTGCCATGGCTCTTGCACAAAAAGGTAGGGGGAGGAGGAGGAGGTGGAGGAGGAGGAGGAGGGGGGAAGAAGGGACAAGACATCGCCCTTCCGGGCCCAACAACGGGGCCCAAATCCCACGTGGGGAGGGGGGGGGTACGTCGTGACGCGGAATACAATGCTCGGAGCGGAGGGGGCACGGGGCTGAGGTCCCACTGGGGCGCTGGGGGCGCGGAGAGGAGGGGGGGGAGGTGGTGTGCGTCGCGACGCGGAATAAAATGGTCGGGGCGGAGGGGGCACTGGGCGGGGCTTGGGGCAGAGGGCCACGGGGCGGGGGTCCAACGGGGGCGCTGGGGACGCGGGGAGGGAGGTGGGGGAGGTGGTGTGCGTCGCGACGCGGATAAATACGTTCGTGGCGGAGGGGGCAGTGGGCGGGGCTCCCGCTGGGGCGCTGGGGACGCGGGGGGGCTCGGGGCAGAGAGCCACGGCGCGGGGGTCGCACTCTGGCGATGGGGGCGCGGGAGATAAGGTGTTACTGCGGCCCGTTGGTTGTTGCTGCGGCCCGGTGGGTGTTAGTATAGCCAGGGGTCCTCCGGAGCGAATTAATTATCGAGTACGGTGAAGGGGGGGGGTCCAAAAAGGCTCCGCCCCCCCCCTTCCTTCACGGAAGAGCCTCTCGGAAGAGCCTCTGGTGCTCTCCGAAGAGCCCCTTGGAGCCGCTGGAGACCTTCTTGCAGCCACCTAAGAGCCTCTTGGGCTCTCCGAAGAGCCTCGTCGGGCCTCCGAAGAGCCTCTTAGGGGCATCCGAAGCGCTTCTTGAGCTCTCCGAAGAGCCTCTTGGTCTCTCCGAACTACTACTACTACTACTACTACTACTACTACTACTACTACTACTACTACTACTGCTACTACTACTACTACTACTACTACTACTACTACTACTACTACTACTACTACTACTACTACTACTACTACTACTACTACTACTTACTACTTACTACTTACTACTTACTACTTACTACTACTACTACTACTACTACTACTACTACTACTACTACTAC